CGGGTCGGGCCCAGGAGCGCCCGGGAGAAGGGTGCCTGGAGCTTTCCGGCCGGTGGGGAGCCCATGTCCCCCATGGGAGGTCCACAGCCCTCGCCCTTGTGGCGGCCGGCCCCCGGGGTCAGGTGGGTCTCACGCACAGGCAGGTGCTTCCGGTTGGAGCTGGTTACGGTTGCCCAATACCCGTGTCTCTGTGTGGGCTGTTTGGGAAAGCTGGGCTGAGGGCTTGGTTCGGAGAGCCCGCGGAGACCCAGGGGTGGGAGTGTGTGGAAGTGGAGGGAGCTGGGAGACAGTGTCGGCGCTGGCGGGGCTGTGTAGCTTGCAGAGGGTCTATGCTCTGAGGTGGGTGAGAGGGTGGCATGGATGTCTGAGTTTATAGGATCGAGTGGTTGCCTTCTGGACTGAGGCTTCCAGTTCTGGTCCTAATGAATGGAGGGATGAATGAATGACCTTCTTTTCCTTCCCTGGGGCCTGAAGTTGGGAGGGGCTTCCCTGGGCTTGGAGAAGGGGCCTTCTAGGGTTCTTGATGGCACCCTGCTTTTGAAATTGGGCGTTGACAGGTCCTGGGCGTCCAATTTAGTGACAGTTGGTCTCCTTGGGAGAATGGCACTTGGTCTAGGGCTAGGCCCAGGAATGTGGGTCCCACGAGTTAAGTTCTGACCCAGTCTCAGCCCCCGTGGACTGGCCTGGCCTGGTCTGGTCTCCGCCTCCGTGGTTAGGTCTGGTTTTAGCTTTGATGACCCTGCCCTGCCCCACCCTGCCTGGTGGCCTGGGGAGGCTCCTAGTGCAGGTATGTGGAGGGTTTGAACTCCAAACAGCCTCTGCTGACTGTAAACACCTGCGGGGTGGGGGCTTGGGGCTCTCTGCTTCTTGGGGGCCTCCCTCTGCCTGGGCCTGTCTGCCATTCGCGAGTGAGCCCTGCCCTTCCCATCATGTGCAAGTAAGAGGTCATTTGTGGTGGAAGAAGTGGTCTAGACTTATACTTCCTTCTAGGCACCGCCTACTCTTTCCACACGCTCAATCAAGGCTTTTCGCAACAGGCTTCTGAGCCTTTCCCCAGAGCCTCCTCTGTTCTTTGCCCCCAGAATGCCTCCAGAGATTCCATTTTGCCTGGCCACCTGTGGGATACTGCTTGTGGCTGTCATTCATTCATCCAACCAATCTTGATTGAGTGCTTACTATGTGCCAGGTACTTGGAGGATAGCAGTGAACAATATGGGATCCCCGCCCGTGTGGAACTTAAATTCTAGCTGTTGCTGCTTGCTCTTGAAGCCCTGAGTTTGTCCACCGAGCCCTTTTTCTGAACCCACCTTCTTGCCTCCCTCTCCATCAAGACCTACACAGGCCTTCGGACAGCCTGATTATCCCTGGCTCTTCAGGATAAACGTGGCTTACTGTGGCTCTCCAGGAGCTGACATCTGACTTCACTTGGCCAATTCAATCACATGGTTTTTTTTTCCCCCCCTTCTCAAGACAGGGTTTTTCTCCGTTTCCCAGGCTGCAGTGCAGTGGTGTGATCTCGGCTCACTACAGCCTCAACTTCCCAGGCTCAAGCAATCCTCCTGCCTCAGCCTCCTGAATAACTGGGACTACAGGCACAGACCACCATGCCCAGCTAATTTTTTTTAGAGACAGGGTCTCGCCTTGTGGCTCAGGCTGGTCTCAAACTCCTTGTTGCCTCAAATGATCCACCCCCTCTGCCTCCCAAAGTGCTGGGATTATAGACATGAGCCACCATGACTGGTCCAACTTCTGATTTCATTTCTGCCTTCTAAACATGCTTTTCTCCAGGACCTGGCTTCACCTGCTGTGCTGACCTAAACAAGCCCCCTGCCTTCCAGTGGCATCTGCTGTTGCCATCACGCCAGCCTCCAACTCTGTCCCCAGCTCGTGGCCCTTGGCCTGCCTGGCACTGACGGATTGGTCTTAAATCGAATGAGGTCCACAGGCCTCTTGCAGGCCCCCATCCCAGCTTCTCTTTTTTTTCCATCATGACAAATGTCCTGTTGATTTTCTTCATTGTGTCCCCCAAGAAATTGTCATTTGCTCCTTTTCTGTATTTCCTATGACTGACTCCCTGCTGGTAGGCGCCCTTTATTTTGTGCTTGTGTTTCTGGAACTGTTTTCTAGCCCCCTACTCTTTCTGTGGACGCTGAGCCTGGTGCTTCTCACAGGTCTGCCTTCTGCAGTCTGGTCAGGCTTGGCCTCCGGACTGGAGTCCAGGGTGCTCACGGCACAGTGCTTTTGGTGGCTATCTCTTTCTTCCCTGTGCTCCTCTTGGTGCCTCCTCCCACTGCCAGCCACATGACTCTTCCTGCTGCCCTCTGTAGGGAAGGGTCTGGCTCGCTTCCTGCCTCTGGTGGACACTGGCCTCATAGGGTCCACTACCTGGCTTGCTGATTTCCCTGTATTCAGTCTCCTGCCCACATGTCCGCCGTGCTCTAGTCTCTTGTGCATACATGATGCAGTCGGATGTGGTCCTGGGCCTGCAGCGGGAGCCCCTAAAATGCACTGTAATTGGTCTGTATGCTCGCCAGGGAAAAAATGCACTGTAACCAGGAGTTGAGGTCAGGCGTTGGGACAGGCCCTGGGCCCCAGTCTTCAGGTGCACTGGGTGTTGGCGTGGCATGTCTGGGCACTTCCAAGGTGGCGTGGAGGAGGCAGTGTGGCTCCCTGGCCCAGGTCCCAGCCTCCTCCCTCCCGCCAGTCACTCCCTGGATACCCAGCACCATCGTCTTGGTGTCTCCGCCGGTGCTGTCCAGAGGCCCTGTATTACTGCCTTGTTTTCCTGTGACTCCTCTCTCCCCGCCAACTTGGGACACTTGTCTGTGAAGCCCTTCCCCAGCTTCCCATTTTCCGCTCTTCCGGAGCGTTTCTCTGTGCCTGGAGGTCACCGTGCCTGTGTCCGCACTTCTGCTCAGTGCTGGAGCACAGGATAGGCAACTTTTGTGGCCCAAATATATCAATAAAATATGAAGAAAAATGGTGGGGGTAGTCCTGGTCCCTTCCACTTCTGTTCTATGTAGTCTTCTGCAGGTCAGGCTGTTGTTAGTTTTTTTTGTTTGGGGGGTGTGTGTGTGTCAGAGATTCACTCTTGTTTGAGACGGAGTCTGCACCCGGGCTGGAGGGCAGTGGTGTGATCTCGGCTCACTGCAACCTCCACTCCCAGATTCAAGCGATTCTCCTGCCTCAGCCTCCCGAGTAACTGAGATGACAGGTGTGCTCTACCCCTCTGGCTAATTTTTGTATTTTTAGTAGAGACGGGGTTTCACCATGTTACCCAGGCAAATCTTGAACTCCTGACCTCAGGTGATCTGCTCACCTTGGCCTCCTAAAGTGCTGGGATTACAGGCGTGAACCACTGCGCCTGGTCAAGTCAGGCTGGTTATTGATCTCCCCTAAAAGACCATGGCATGAGTGGAGGGGGCAGGGAGTTGCCAGTGCAGTCCACTCAAGCAGCTCAGTAGGCCCCTGTGGTGGCCCTGGAGGGCAGCTGGTAGAAGTCAGAAAGACAGATGAGCCCCCGTGACTCTGCTGTGTCCACAGAATTCTCCACTTTGAGAATAGGGCCCAGGAGAGGGGAACTGAAAAGAAAGGCAACATACTTTTGGGAGAGGAAGGAGGGACAGCTCTGGAGGAGACAGGCGCCACCCTGGAGCCCGACCCACCAGCACTGTTGCGGTGGGAGGCTCGGGCCCTTTGGCCAGGCTCCTGTGTGCTGAGAGCCCCCCGCGTGCAGGGGAGACCCCTCTGCGAGGTCAGCTGAGGCCTCGTGGTTGGACTGGTGATGATTCCCGTAGTCGTCTCTGCCCCTGTTCTCTTCTTGGCTCACCCTGTCTCCTGTCTGGTTATTTAGAGAAGATTCTCCAATCTGTCGAGGGTCCAGGCCTGCTGTGTGACTGAGGGTGCTCAGAGCTGCCCTTTCTGGCAGAACGTTTGACCCTCCTGGGGGAATATTTGGGGCTGGGAGCGTTGGGGAGCTTGGGCTGGGCAGTGAGTCAAGGGAGCTCTGGCCTGGGTGACAAGAGTGGCCAGGTCAGCTACTTCTGACCCTCAGGTCACACCCTGCAGCAGTGGCTTTGCCATCCCCAAGACCTTTGGTGACTTTTCAGCGTGTTGTCCTGGGCAGTAGCCCTAAGGGTCAACTGATCCTGACCCCACATGTGGGCTGCTGAGGCTGCACTGAGGCCCCTGGGGTGATAGGTGGTTTCACCGCAGAGCCAGGAGCCCCAGATGGGCAACGCTGCCACAAGGGCTGCTGCTGGAGGAAGAGCTGGACTCTGAGGGTGGGGGCCTCATGTAGAGGAAGGAAGGAGTGGCCATCCTGGGTTCCTTTTGCCTGCCTGTGGCTGTTCCTCCTGGGTCCTCTTGCCCTGGGCTGGGTGCCTGCTTGAGCTCCCCCTCTGCATGTGATAACTTGCGGTGGCCCTTACAGCTGTGCCAAAGCTACACCTTGGGGTCCTAGCCCCAGCTGGCCTGCGTACTGCTGTGGGCTCACACCACCTTCCTCCCACAGCCCTGGGCGCTGCCTATGGCACAGCCAAGAGCGGCACCGGCATTGCGGCCATGTCTGTCATGCGGCCAGAGCTGATCATGAAGTCCATCATCCCAGTGGTCATGGCTGGCATCATCGCCATCTACGGCCTGGTGGTGGCAGTCCTCATCGCCAACTCCCTGAATGACGACATCAGCCTCTACAGGTGAGCGCTGGGGTCAGGCCCCATAGGGCTGGAGGGCTGCAGGGCCGCAGGGAGGGGAGCGGTTTCCCCGTGGGTGGTGACCCGGACCTCTGTCTCCCTCTGTCTCTCTCTGTCTCTTCCTGGTCAGCAGGCTGCTGATGTCAGTCCTCTCTTCTTGCCTCCAGGAGCTTCCTCCAGCTGGGCGCCGGCCTGAGCGTGGGCCTGAGCGGCCTGGCAGCCGGCTTTGCCATCGGCATCGTGGGGGACGCTGGCGTGCGGGGCACTGCCCAGCAGCCCCGACTATTCGTGGGCATGATCCTGATTCTCATCTTTGCCGAGGTGCTTGGCCTCTACGGTCTCATCGTCGCCCTCATCCTCTCCACAAAGTAGACCCTCTCCGAGCCCACCAGCCACAGAATATTATGTAAAGACCACCCCTTCTCATTCCAGAACGAACAGCCTGACACATACGCACCGGGCCGCCGCCCCTAGTAGTTGGTCTTGTACATGCGCAGTGTCCTAGTGCCCATCGTCTGTTTTCCTGGCCTTGCCCCCGCCCGCCCCATGCCGTGGACATCTGGGCCCACTCATCGCCCCTCCAGGCCCCCGGCGCCCCACCCCCTAGAGTGCTCTGTGTATGCGGATGATTTAGAGTTGTCATTTCTCTTTACTGGATGTTTATTTATAAAGATCTGGCCTGTTCCCGCGTCTGCGGAGCGGCCCTCGTCTCCCAGCTATCTATAACCTTAGCTAGAGTGTCGCCTTGTGGGTTCCTGTTGCTGAGACTTCCTGGATGGAGCCGCCCTCACCGCGGGGCTGTGGCCCTGCGCGGAGCTGTGTCCAATAAAGTTTTTGGATGTGACGGGCCTGTGTCTGCTCAGCTTGTTGGGCGCGTGGGCGGGGGTAGGCGGG